TCAGAACAAATCCAGTAGGGATCAAATTTACCTTAAATAAAGATAGTAACCTCTGTATTTAGCATGAGTCCAAAATAAAAAGATGGTTAATTATATATGTTATTATACCCTTAACTAAATATGAGGCAGTTCTTTCTTTCCAGATGAAATGTTTTATTTTTCTTTCCATGATTCTTGAAGGTCTCTAAAGACCAGATGGTATATGTATGCTACAAATAATGACTTTTCTTGGCTCTTCTAAATATAGTTACATGTTCAAATAAGGTAAATATTCTTATTTTTAAAAACATCTATTATCCTTGCCCTTTATTGAGATATAACTCATATGTTATATAATTCACCCACTTAAAGTATATAGTTCAAGGGTTTTTAGTATATTCATAGATAGGTACAACCATCACCACAGTCAATTTTAGAACATTTTCATCATGTCAAAAAGAACCCCATCCTCGTTAGCTTCCTCCTCTTCCCTTGTCACCCCCATCCAGCCCTAAGCAACTAGTAGTCTACTTGCTACTATAGGTTTACCTATTCTGAACATTTTATATAATGGGATCATATAATATGTGGTCTTTTGTAACTGGGTTCTTCTACTTAGTATTTTCAAGATATATCCATGTTGTAGTATGTATCAGTACTTCATTCCTTTTTTTATTGTATTAAAAAACATTAACATAAAATTTACCATCTTAACCATTATTAATTGTATAATTCTGTGACATTAGGTATATTCACCCTGTTGTGAAACATATCTCCAGAACTTTTTCATACTGGATACCTAAGCCTCTACACCCATTAAATAACTCTACTTTTCCCCCTCATCTCAGCCCCTGGTAACCACCATTCTACTTTCTGTTTCTAAGAATTTGACTACTTAATACCTCATATAAGTGGAATAATGTAGTTGTCTTTTTGTGGCTGATTTATTTTACTTTGCATAATGTCTTCAAGGTCAGTCCATATTGTATCATGTCACAGTGTATAGAGATATACACCACATTTTGTTTATCCATTCATCCATTGATGGACATTCGGGCTGCTTCTACCTCTTGACTGTTATGAATATTGCTACTATGAATATGGGTGTGAAAATATCTCTTTGAGACCCTGCTTTAAATTCTTTTGGATACATACTCAGAAGGAGAATTGATGGATCGTATAGTAGTTCTATTTTTAATTTTTTGAGAAACATTCTTATGGTTTTCCATGGTGGTTGCACTATTTTACAATCCTACCAAGAGTGTATGAGGGTTCCAATTTCTCCACATTCTCATCAACACTTGTTATTTTGGGTTTGTTTTTTTTTTTATAGTAGCCATCCTAATAGGTGTGAGGTGATATCTCATTCTGGTTTTGATTTGCATTTCTCTGATGATTAGTGATGTTGAGCATCTTTTCATATGCTTGCTGACTATTTGTATACCATTTTTGGGGAAACATCTGCTCAAGTTTTTTGCCCATTTTTGGTTGGGTTACTTGATCTTTTTGTTGCTGAGTTATAAGAGTTCTTTATATATTCAGGACATTAGCCATTTATCAGATTTGCAAATATATTCTTCCATTCCATCAATTACCTTTTCACTGTGTTGATTATGTCCTTTAATGCGCAGAAGTTTTTTTTCCAACATAATCTTTTTTTAAGTTTTTTATTTTAATTCCAGTATAGTTAACACTGAGTATTATGTTAGTTTCAGGTATACAATATAGTGATTCAACAATGCCATGTATTATGCAGTGCTCATCCTGGTAAGTGTACTCTTTAATCCCCATCACCTATTTCACCCATCCCCCCATCTACCTCCCCTCTGGTAACCTTCAGTTTGTTCTCTATAGTTAAGAGTGTGTTTCTTGGTTTGTCTCTCTTTTTTTTCCCCTTTGTTCATTTGTTTTGTTGCTTAAATATATCCATCCATATTGTTGAAAATGGCAAGATGTCATTCTTTTTATGGCTGAATAATATTCCATTGTATGTATGTATACACACACACACACACACACACACACACACACACACACACACACACCACATCTTCTTTATCCGTTCATCATTCAGTGGACATGTGAGCTGCTTCCATAATTTGGCTATTATAAATAATGCTGCAATACACATAAGAGTGCATGTATCCCTTGGAAATAGTTTTTGTATTTTGGGGGGTAAATACCCAGTAGTGATGCACAAAAGTTTTTAAGTTTGATGTAACTCCATTTGTCTATGTTTGCTTTAGTTGCCTATGCCTTTGGTGTCATACTCAAGAAATCATTGCCAAAACCAAGAAATAGACTCTTAACTATAGAGAACAAACTGATAGTTACCAGAAGGGAAGTGGGTGGGGGGAATGGGTTAAATAGGTGAAAGGGAGGGGCGCCTGGGTGGCTCAGTTGGTTAAGCATCCAACTTTGGCTCAGGTCATGATCTCACAGTTCGAGATCGAGTTCGTGAGTTCGAGCCCCGTATCGGGCTCTGTGCTGACCAATCAGAGCCTGCAGCCTGCTTCGAATTCTGTGTCTCCCTCTCTCTCTCTGCCCCTCCCCAACTTGCACTCTGTGTGTCTCTCTCTCAAAAATAAATGAACATTAAAAAAATTATAAAAAATAAAATTTTAAAAATTAGGTGAAAGGGTCGACTTGTTGTCATGAGCTCCAGGTGATGAATGGGTTGAATCACTATACTGTACACTTGAAACTAATATTAACACTGTATGTTAACTGATTGGAATTTAAATAAAAGCTTCTTAAAAACGTGAGGCCCACTTAGATTATTGGGAGAAATGTTTCAATATAAAATCAGAAAATGTTTGAAAAATATAAAACATTTTATGTATTCATCACCATTATTGAAAAAACCATTGCCAAACCCAATGTCATAAAGCTTTTCGTCCATCTTTTCTTCTAAGAGTGATATAGTTTTAGGTTTTATATGTAGTTCTTTAATCTATTTTGAGTTAATTTTTATATATAGTGGAAGATAAGGGTCTGTTCTATTCCATTTGAATTAGTTAAGGCTCTCCAGAGAAACAGAACCGATAGGATATTTATATATACATATACATATATACATACATATATATATATATATACATATATATACATATACATATATATATACACATATACATATATGTGTGTGTGTATATATGGGGGGAGAGGGAGAGGGATTTATTAGGAGGAATTGGCTCACATGATTATGGATGCTGAGAAGTCTCAGGATATGCCATCTGCAAGCTGGAGACCCAGGAGAACCGGTTATTTTGTAACTGGAAGTTTATACTTCTTAATCTCCTTGTACTATCTTTGAATATTAACTATTACCTTTACTGAGCTATTCATAATCCCAGCAAAGTCATTCTCTTAGAATCTGAGCTAGTGTATAACTTACATTTTCATGAACTACCCTAGGCCAGATTAGTTCCAGGCAAGGAGCCACCCCAGGAAGTTTATTGTGATCCTGTCAAATGCCATGGGGCTCACCATCAGGTTCATTTGGTAGTTTATAGTGTATAAGTGAATACAAACTAGACTCTCTGGTTTCACCACTTCCTTGGTCTTACTAAATATAGGTCAGTAGCTTCAGGATATGTCCAGAATAGCTACAACCTTCTAGGAATATCTGAAGCTAAAAATGGCTAAGAATTTTCCCCTTCCAATTCATCTGTCACCTCCCTAAAAGGAAAGAGTTAATATCACTGTCACTGTAGACCAGAATACAAAATGAAAAATCTCTCTGTACTTATTTCTAGATCCTGGGATCTGGAAATCAGAGGCCCTACAAAGCCAAAAACAAAAAACAAACAAAGACACCCATTCAGCTCTGGAAGCAATGGAGTTTTCTAAATTATACAAACATCTCCTGTAAATCAAGTCCTGTATTACTTACAGTCTCTAGGGACAAGCTTGATGTGTTCCCTCCCCCTCTTCTTCCATTTCCACTTCCTATTATTCCTTTGCTTCTTTGAAATAATAAGACAGATTCTGACTAGAAGATTTAAGGAATTGGTCATGACTCTTGAAACTCTTATTTTTATTGGCACTGGTTCAAATTCCTAAGCTCTAGCTAAAAATGATTATTATCCAGAGTGGTTTGAATAGTCACTTCACAAGGCAGTTTACTGTCCCTCTGCTTAGAGTCAATAATTTTTTAGGTTAATAAAGCCAAAATCAAAGGCTAAAATTCCTTTTCTTTACTTTTCTTAAGAAAAAGAAAAACTTGCTTAATGTAAAAACAGCATATGATCATTGTAGAAAACTTGGAAATTTTCAGAAAAGTATAGCAAAGGGAATAAAAATCATACATAATTCTAAACATACTAAAATAACAAATGCATTACATTTTCATATATGCCTTTCTCTTTTCTATTGACATGTACACATCTATGTTAACAGAGTTAAGATTATATACTACATGTATAGTTCTGCATGTGTTTTAAACATATGTCATAAAAATCTTCCTGGTCAGTGAATATTCTTCATAAATATTACTTTAGTTTGCATAATATTTTATCATAAAAATAGACCGTTGTGTATTTAAATTTCTGTATTATTGACCTTTTTATTTCTTTCCTTTTCTTACTAATATAAGCAACTGAAATAAATATGTGCATAAACATTTATCTGTTTTCTTAGGATAGATTTCTAGAAGTGAAATTACTGGGTAAATGAATAGAAAATGTTTAAGAATTGGGTTTTTAAAGAAAATCATCTTTGGGTAGTTAAAGGATTAATGACACATTAAACTCAATACATCTTTGATGACTGTGTAGCCACTCATATTCAGATAATCTCTGCAAGCATAACTATTAATTGACTGAATCTAATCTTTCATTTCAGACATAAGGATACATCTTTTCCTTCTGTCTCCAACTCCTTGGAATAGAAATCAGGAGGTCTAACTGAGCCCATATACAAGCCTTGTCAGACAGGCACACATACCTACCTTGTTTATGACTGCCTGTTTAACCGATTACTCTCAACATCCATATTTTTCTTATATTCTCTTTTTTCAGATGGAATGGGGCGAGTCCTTGCTCAAGATGTGTATGCAAAAGACAACCTACCCCCCTTTCCAGCATCAGTAAAAGATGGCTATGCTGTCCGAGGTAAATATTTTGGGGTTTTTGAGTATCATCATACACTGTATTTTTTTTCCTTCAGATTTTTGACTCAGCCTAGGCACCCAGGGAGTTTTACATTTGTTTCCCCCTTGGTTATCAAAATAATTCAATCACAGATAACAATCTGGATTAAAACTTTTCAGTGAAAGTATTATAGTTACCTGAAAATGCTTGTTGACAAATAAATATGTGGAGATTGATTGAAACTCTATACTATAATTTATTCTTCTGACCTCTACACATACTGGTAGCAGACAGTCTTGGTCTAGAAGTTTTCCAGATGTTTTCTAGTTGAAAACTATGTGGTCCAAGAAAGAAGAGCAGATTTCCAGCACAGGGATAATGTAGGGTGGTCTTTTCTTCTGCTTTAAACCCAGACATCATTAAGGGCTTCTTAAAAAGCAAGCACGGTTCCCTGGAAGAACTGGATTTCAACGCTCTGAAACCATACATCGTACCAGCAATTTATACCTTTGGAGTTGCCTGAGATTGCATAAAGGTTAAAAGCAAAATACTAAATAGCAGTTGCCTGCTTAAAGTCTAATCTAAGAACCCAAAATGAAAATGCAAGTGAATTACTTAGAAACTATTATTGGTTATTAACTCAAGGCTGATATCATTGAAGAAATGTCTAAAAACATTTCCCAGTTGACTAGAGCTATGAAGACAGGTTCCCTTTTAATGGTCCTTTATGAAGTCTCTTACTTGTTTGTTTTTGTTGCTTTTACTCCATCTAGCCATTAAAAAAATTTCCTCTTTTTTATAATTAAATATATTCATTAATCTCCTCCATGTTCCATCACTATCTCTTAGCAGTATCTTTTTGTGTTGGAGACAACATAGCAAATGGTTAAGGTTACGGGCTTCGAAAAGCAAAGTCAGAGTTAATCTGGTTTCAAGTACCGATTCTATCTATGTAACTTTGAGCAAATTACCTAAAATTTTTGAGCTTCAGTTTTCTCCATGATGATAATTATAAAAATACTTACCCCCAACAAGTTGTTGTGAGAATTAAATGAGACCCTAGAAAGCCTTAGTAAAGTATCTGGCACCAAAAACAAGCACACAATAATTGTTTTTTTAAACGTTTGACAATGGTAACTATTATTATCACTATCATTAGTATAAACACATTTCCTTAGATCATCTCTGGAAAGAAAGGTAACATTTATCTGAATTGTTCTCATATTCTACGTAAATAAAATGGTGGAGAGATTAATTTCTACTAGTGTATTCCTTCACAGGAATACTGTCTTAGATGTACCTCATTCAGCTTGATCCCACTAAAGGAGAGTATTTCTGAGAACCTGAATAGCAAATCCCTGGCAGCGCTTAGGACTTTTTTTCTTCCAAATGTATTCCTTCTACAGTGCTTATTATAATGAATATTGTCCAGAAAGAAAATTAGTTCAATCTTCTGATAGCCTCATTGGCTCTTGTTGCTTCTTATTCTCCAACTAAAATGTCAGTTCTGTTTTGAATTTATAATTGGTAGCCATATAGGATTACTGTAAAATGACAAGGAATTCTTACTTCCAGAGTAGAACAAACAACTATAGCAGATGAAATACCAAAGGGATAAGAAAGTATTTTTTACATTCTTGATAATATAATATAGGAGAAAGTGAGAAAATAAATTATTGGAGGCAGAATTATTCTCAAACAGAATGTTGTTCTGTGATTTTTACATGAGTTAGCAAAAGCTCAATAAAAAGAAATTATGCTCTTAGCTTTTCTAGTTGCCAGAAAGAGTGATTAGCCCACATGAGCCTCAAAAGAGCCTTTCTGCTACTATAGAATCTACTAAAGAAATTTTACTTAAAATTTCCTTTCGGTATCTTATTTTTTCTTTTGATTTGAAATGGTGGTGTGTTTAGTTATTTCACATGCATACACACACACACACACACATGTGTGCGCACACACGCACGCACACACATACAAACCATCTAAAATAACATCTCACAATATAAAAGGTTTAACAAACTATCATGCTCATGATTCATTATGTGTTTCCTGTGAAGTGTTGGTAGTGTAGCTATCTCTAAGATACAGAGTATGTAACAGAGACATAACACATAACAGATAACCATTGTGGATAAGGTTCAATCTCAAACTAAGAGTGTTTGATGTGTCTATGTATATATACCAACATCATAATTAAGGCAACAGAAGACATCAGTGAACAAAGAGGCATGGTCCTAGTTTCTGTGTTAGAACACTCCCCACAGGCAGTGTTTGGTAAAGAATATCCTTGAGGCTATTGTTGTGGCTCTCTACCACTCTACTTCGTGTACCTTCTTCTCTCCACCCCTGTCTTCCTTTACTCCCGTTCCTGTCTCCCCACTCCCTTTATTCTCCCTTTTTTCTTCTCCTCTGCCTTTGCCTTAGGCCTTCCAGTAATACCCAGTGGCACCAGTGAGCATTGCTAACCCTGTAGGTGTAAAGAGGTTCCTAACTTGCTCTGGATCACTAAGCATTAGCCAATATCCTTCAGAAACATGTGGCATAAAACTCCAAACCAGTTGGAGGATCACTTGCTTTAAGGTATGTGGGTTGCAAATCAAGACAGTAAAAAATGACTAAGCAAATAACAAATAGGGACAACTTTTTTTTAAAAAAAAAGAAAGAATAGGGGCGCCTGGGTGGCTCAGTCAGCTGAGCGTCCGACTTCAGCTCAGGTCACGATCTCACGGCCAGTGAGTTCAAGCCCCGCGTCAGGCTCTGTGCTGACAGCTCAGAGCCTGAAGCCTGTTTCGGATTCTGTGTCTCCCTCTCTCTCTGACCCACCCCGTTCATGCTCTATCTCTCTCTGTCTCAAAAATAAATAAACGTTAAAAAAAATTTTTTTTTAAAAAGAAAGAAACTAAAACAAAGAACTTAAAAAAAAAAAAAGAATAAAGTTTAAAGACTGCAGGAATCAAGGGATGATGATATAACAGGAAGGCAAGTAACATGATAAACCTAAAACTGTATTCAGGATGGAGTGAGTAGTCGTCGTCGTCGTTGTTGTTAAAGAGAAAGGGAGAGATTTATTTTGGGCTCAGGCAGAAGGGGAAAGTGCCAGGCTCAAGCCTTAACAATCACCCCAAGAATGGGGTGAATTTGAAAGATAAAAGCAGAGAAAAGAAAATTAAAGTAGTATGTTACCAATTAGGATTGATCTGGTATTTTTATTCGTATTTTTGAAGAGCTGTTTCTCTCTTCACACTAATTAAGCTAATCATCTTGATGCATTTCTGCCTTCCTGTAGAGATGCAGATGCCTGTCTTCTCAGTTTTCTTGGAGATGTTCGTGAAGGCAGAAGTACCTCAGAATACCACGTTCAGCTTTCTTGAAAATTTTCTATTTGAAAGGCTTATCCCTTCAGAACTTGTTTTACAGAGATGATTTAGAAAAAGGCAAAAGAAAGAACAAGCCACTAATTATTTTAAGAATCATGTGTAACAATTCTGGAAGGATATGAAAAATTTTTGCCATTTGGGTAAAGTAAATTTGAAAGGTTTTTTTTCTTTTTTACATCCTGATTGAAATACATGCATATGAAAAATACAGAAAATTAAAAAGAACATTTTAAAATTACCCTTTATGTCACTGCCTACCCAGCCACCATTAAGACTTCACTGTACTTCCAGTGGGTTAAAATGCATACGAAAATTCAGTATAACCTTTTTGATTCAGAGCTAGTCTTGTTCTTTCGGGAAAGCCATGTTCTAAGGTTTCTATTTCTCCCATCTAAATCTCTGGCCACAGCTGGTTTTCCATTTAATAACTTACTGCTTTCCACTATACGTCACTCTGGATAAAGAAGAGGGCCTTATGATGTGGGAGTATTACTCAAGTAAGCAGAGAGATATTCAGATTAATTAATTTTAGTCAGTTCCAAAAAGCCTAAAATACTATATTTAAGGATATAGTATCTCTTTTCACAATACTAACAATAAATGAGCATTTTTTTTTCCAGGAAGATGATGGTAAAGAATATAAAATCTTTTCTCACTCACCTGTCCTACCCTTAACTTCCTGCTTTCCCTAAGAAAAAGCCACAGATTTAAAATTCCAAACAACTCACTTGATTTAATCCTTCAGTATGATTGCAAAAAGTATTAATCTTGTTGTGCTAGTCTTGTCACCTTCCCTTTGCCCCCCAGCACTTTCTATAATCTTAACTTTAGTATATACATAAATGCTATTATCCTGCTGCCTATCATCCAGTCTTAGTGTGGTTCCATAATCAGTTTCTTAATCCCTCTGCCTTATTTGTCTGTCAACGATATTTCCTAGGACCTCTGAACATATGCTATCTCTATAGCCTCAGTTTATTCAGCCCTAACATGAAAAGGTTGAAACTCCTTATTATTGAAAACTAATGAATAGCTATAAAGTGTTTCAAGAGGCTTAAAGAGAGTTCACATATGGCTGGAAAATGAAAATGAAGAATTGTTCTATAGCAGATGGCTCGGGAAGATCATATTCTACACATTGCCACAATGAATAGTTAACTAATGGTATCCATTTTTAAATGATATCATTGAAAATCTTCAAATAAACAGGTGAAGAAGACTAAAAGTGTTTGCTGGACATTAAAAAAGGAAGGTAGTGGGGCGCCTGGGTGGCTCAGTCTGTTGAGCGTCCGACTTCAGCTCAGGTCACGATCTCGCAGTCCGTGAGTTCGAGCCCCATGTCAGACTCTGGGCTGATGGCTCAGAGCCTGGAGCCTGCTTCCGATTCTGTGTCTCCCTCTCTCTCTGCCCCTCCCCCGTTCATGCTCTGTCTCTCTCTGTCTCAAAAATAAATAAATGTTAAAAAAAAATTTAAAAAGGAAGGTGGAAGTGGGAACAATGTCAGGATCTAGCACTGAAGTATTATGAATCAGTTGTATAATACATTTGCTTTTAGGATTTGATTTATATTACTTTTATCACTTCCTTCAAATTAAATTCTACAGTTACAAAAAAGAAAAATAACTTACTAACAGAAAAGTCTGAATATAGAGGGGCGGAGTTCTAAGCCTCTCCAGAAATCCTTGGAATCCATGCATGTTTTGCTAATGGCATATTGTGGCTTGCTTACTTAGTTACAAGCTTTAGGATCACATGCCAGCAGACCTCCACTTCTGCTCCTTACCACCCAAGCTTATAGAATTCATCTTGAAAATGGCACCTTTTTTCACCTGTCTCTTTAATAGATATTTTGAAATAAATATCAGCAAGTTAGATCAATCATTATTTTTGTCTTTATAAGAAATAGTGAGGGGCGCCTGGGTGGGGCAGTCGGTTAAGCGTCCAACTTCAGCCAGGTCACAATCTCGCGGTCCGTGAGTTCGAGCCCCACGTCAGGCTCTGGGCTGATGGCTCGGAGCCTGGAGCCTGTTTCCGATGCTGTGTCTCCCTCTCTCTCTGCCCCTCCCCCGTTCATGCTCTGTTTCTCTCTGTCCCAAAAATAAAAATAAAAAACGTTGAAAAAAAAATAAATAAAAATAAAAAAAAAAAAAAGAAATAGTGAGCCTTCATGATAATATAAAATCAGGATTTCTGTTGTACTTCACTAGTTTTTATTCCTTACATTTTCTCTAAGTCTGAATTTGTCTATATTCAGTTCAGTCTTAGAGTGCCCTGCTCCTCAAAAAGGTAGTTCAGGAATGAGCACTAATCGCATCAGCTTGTTAGAAATGTAGAACCTCAAGCCCTGTCCCAGACCTACTAAATCAGAAATCTGTATTCTAACAAGATCTGCAGGTGATTTGTGCACACTTGAAGGGTTGAGAAGCACTCTTATAAAAGAAATAATAAAAGCAACTGCTCTCTTGCCACCAAGAACCTTCTATAATGTGGTTTGACTGAGCCTTCTTTAGCTAGCAATATAGAGACATGTTTCCCAGATAGAAATTTTCAGGGCAAGGTGAAGAACATAGTTTAAGTGAGCACGTATTCTCTGAACAGTCAGTGCCCCTTTCCTGCAGCTTAGAATCATTTAAAGGCTCTTTCAGTTGTTGGCCTTCTTAACACTCTATTGCAGGCTCATTATTCAATGACATTTATTTGGAGCATTTGTGTACAACATTGATATAAGGCATTTTCAGTGTAGGTGTATTTGCATATGTGGAGGAACAGAAGACAGGAAGAAAGTTGAAGAGCAGAGGGTTTCGAAAAAGAAATAAAAGAAGTGATCCCTGTCTCTTAGAAGCTCATAATCTCACTGAAGAAATAAAGTATACACATTTATGAAATTATTCAAGAAAATTTTGAAAACATAATTCTAATATGTACAAATCAGTTTACAAACTTTCCCCCTAAGTATTATGGAAATGCCAAATTCATTTCTTTATTCTTTTAACAAATATTTATTGAAAATCAGTGATGAGCTAGGCACTATGCTAGACAGAATAGCAACATAATCTAAGTTATTATATAAAATTAAGCAGAGCAGTCTTTTTAAACATTCTAAATAGATGGTGAACATTGACTCACATTTGAAAACTGTAAAAATGGACCAGCAGAAAATGAAAGGCATCCAAAATACAGAAGTTTGGATTTTTTTTTTTTTTGAGAGAGAGAGTGCATGTGCCAACTGAGCCACCCAGGTGCCCCCAAAATACAGCATTTTGTGTTGAAAAATATTATTTATTTGTTCATTTATGCATGCATCTTTCTAAAAAGATTTTTAGAATCCATACTCGTTCATTTATTGAACATTTTTAGTACTTCACATATTGAAAATTTATTGAATACCTTTTATGCAGCAAGTGCTAGGGATTCCCCTGAGACAAATAAGAAATAACTGCAAATAATTAGGAAGCCATAAATTAGAGTTGTTTAGGGAATACACTGGGGAAACAACAGAGAAAGTAGCTGACTCTTGAAGGAAGAGGAGTCAAATATGATTTCATAGAGAAGGTGACACTTGAGCTGAGTCTTAAAGACTAAGAAGACTTCAATCAGAAAGCACAGGTAGGAAAAGGACACTCCAAGCAATGGAAGTAGCATGTATTAATGGAGTTAAAGTAGGAGTCATCTTGGTACTCTCAGGGAGCTACAATTCTAGAAATTGAGAGTGGCTAGAGTGTAAGATCTAAGGAGGGTATGAACCAGAGACCTTTGCACACAGGTGAAGATCTTTAGATGGAGCATTTCCACTCATTTCCCCCTCCCCTTCACACACACACACACACACACACACACACACACACACACACACACACACCCCTTCTGCCTACTTACCTTTCACTCATCCTTCATATTCACACCAGAAAACCTTTTATCAGGGTGGCTTTCCCTGACTCTCTCGTATAGTTCACTTTCATTGCATGCTCTCATAAAACCATGTTCCTTTCCTTTAGAATGATTTTCTTAATTTGCATTTATACATTTATTAATGTGACTATCTGATTAGTATCTATCTCCTCCATTACATCAGTGGTTTTAACTACACCCATAGAAAGACACATATTAAATACATTATGCACAAATATATAACATATGTAACATACAATGCCTATAAATGTACATATGCACACACATATAAACAAAATTATGTTTCATGAAACAATATGATTCATCTTACCATGTGCAATGAAGTATATTTCTATTCATTCTGATTTTTAAAATTATTTACAAATGCGGGCACCTGGATGGCTCAGTCAGTTAAGCGTCTGACTTCAGCTCAGGTCATGATCTCACAGCTTGTGAGTTCGAGCCCCACATTAGGCTCTATGCTCTCAGCACAGAACCTGCTTCAGTTCCTGTCTCCCCCTCTCTCTGCCCCACTCCAGCTTATGCTTTCTCTCTCTCTCAAAAATAAATAAAAACATCAAAAAGATTATTTACAAGTTTATTTTACAGCCCACCTCCACATTTGATTTGAACATTGCCGTAAATTGGCATTGCATTAGAATAGAAGCCATGTCTGGTTTTACTCCATTCTGTTCCACCACCTAATATGACACTTAGGGCATACAATATACTCAGTAGTAATTCAATGAGTGAATGAAAGCAATAAATGGCTTTAAAATATATTATTTTTAAAGTATGATTATCCCGATGTTTTCAACAAGAAAACTGAAGTTTAGAGAAAGGCTTAATAATTTGCTGAAAGTCCTGAGGCTAATAATAGGCAGAACTAGGATTCAGATGCAGTTTTGTTTTACTCTAAAACACCATTAACTTCCCCTTGTGAAAGAGGGAAAAAGAGAAAATGTCTAGGTTGCTTATGATAGGTTGCAAGCTAGGAATATCTCTAGTAGAAAAATACTTTAAAATAAATTTATTCACCCTTGAGATGTAGTTAGTGTGGAATTCTGAAAGATAATTGACTTTTTAATTTTCTTCAATAAGAAAATCAAAATTCACTTTAAGATACTGTAAAAATAAATTAGGGGATAGATGAAATAAGATTGCTAAAATGATAATTGTGGAAGCAATGATTCCTATGTCTGTTTTATGTCTATTTTAAATTGTTCATTTAAAAAATTTTTAAACACAAAAGCAGTATAAGAATAGCATTGCAGAAAAGCTGTTCATGTTTTTCAAATGGACACTGAAAATACAATAGGATTCTAAAAAGCACAAGAAACCCAAGAGTTTATTAACTAAGATAGTCTATAAAGCACAAGATACAACATCTACTACATTAAGAAAAAGTTAATTCTTGTTCCTCTCTACATCAGGTTAACCAAAGCCATGCCAAAAAAAAAAAAGAAAAAAAAGTGACTCATTATAAACAGTATTATATATAAGCCTTTAGAAAAATACCACTTTGTAGTCACATAAAAAAAGTGAATTTCATATGTCTTTTTTAAAAGAAATACTTTTTATTATTAGCATGATTGCAAATATAATTAAAATATTCATATAGAAAATGTTAACTTTTCTGTGTGTCAGCAAATGTAATGCAGAACTGCCTATATATCATGATTTAGAAATAGCATTTTGGCACATTATAAAAAAAAACTGTAGGGTGCCTGGGTGGCCCAGTCAGTTAAGCATCTGACTCTTGGTTTCAGCTCAGGTCATGATCTCATGGTTTGTGAGTGCAAGCCCTGCATCAGGCCCCATGCTGACAGAGCAGACCTTGCTAGGGATTCTCTCTCTCCGTCTCACTCTTTCTGCCCCTCCCATGTGTGTTCTCTCTCTCTCTCTCTCTCTCTCTCTCTTTCTCTCTCTTTCTCAAAATAAATAAATAAACTTTAAAAAAATACTATATTGGGAATTAAGGGACTGTGATTTAGTCCTGGCTCTACCACTAACCAAAACTTGTTCAACCTAAGTCTCTTCATTCTGTGACTCATTTCCTTCAAATGTTAGATGAAAAAAAAGAATATATGTTCTTTCTACTTGGCTGGATTACTATGAAAATCAGACCAAGTGATAAATAAGAAAATAAGAAATAGTTTAAAATTTTTAGCAAATGGAGAAATAGGAATGTAAATAGTAATATATCTGTATAGATAGGTGTATCCACTAATGTACACATACATCACACATACACACCTATAGAAAAGGTGGTATTTATTTAGGAGGATAGGCTAGAAGAAATAGTTCTATTCAAAAAGCACAAGTATGGAAATTATGGAGCAACAGGGTGACCATCTCCCATGACATCAAGAAAGGACGTGATTAGGATCACTTCTACTGGTAATTGTGAGTGGTGGATACCAAAGATCAAACCAGTAGTAACAAAGATACTGTCTGGTCTAGAAGATCAGAAAAATATTATACTTTCCTGAAGCCTTATCTGATCATTTGAGTCAAATTTTAGAATTCCAACACTAGGCCCTTATTCCTTGCTTTAGGACAATTTTGATGTTTGTTCTTGGTTCTGTTCACCTAACAGCTGCCGATGGCCCAGGAGATCGTTTCATCATTGGGGAATCCCAAGCTGGTGAACAGGTGAGATTCACAGTTCTGAAAAGCCCTGAAGATTTCAGTTTCATGGACTTTTAGCATCGAATTTTAAGCTACCATCATTGTAATGGAAATCTTAGATGTGGATTAGACAGGGTATCAAAGAAGTTAAAGGATGGTTCCCATGAGAAAGAGACAAAAGAATTATTTTTTAACTGAAAGAATCTGCGTCTATTACTCTGTGTCTAATAATATATATTGTTGGTATGTTTCACCGACATGCCCCACATTTTCCAGTCCTGTGATTGGATAATTCTTCCTGTATAAACATTAATGTTGTGAATAGAACTACAGTTTCTAGGTGATCTTCTTAGACTTTTCTCCAACTTGTGTTACCAACAAGGAAAATTAGAAGCAGCAAATTATTTAACCTCTCTACCTAATCATTTAAATTAGTTTTTCTCATTAGGGAGCTAGCCAGTGCACAGGTATACGTGTATATCTTTTAAGAAAAGGAAGCACTAATGGGTCATAATGAATTACAATAGAAGTCCTCTATTTAATGTTTCTGAGACCAGTAATTGACCATTTAATTGGAAATAAGTGGAAAATGATTGTATATTTTTAAATAAACATAAATTTAACTGAAATAAATGAACATTTACTTGTCAATAATTTGATGGAAAGCCAAGACTTTTCTTTTAATAAGTATCTGCTATTTGAATTTGTCTGGTCTTTCTTACATAAATCACACCCCAAAGTACTCTATGTGATTTCCAATTTTGATCTTTAAAATGGAAAAAAATTCAAGGACATTTGCAAGTTACCTAAGTATAGAATCCTTTTAGGTTTTTATTATATTTTTACAATTTTTAAAAGCTACTTCACCCACACCTAATCTGACAGTTGTTTTTAAGCAAAAATTTTTAATTGAGTTTTAACAGAGGTTTAACTTAATTTTTATAGGAAAAAACTCTTTTCACACTCATATATCATTGATTTGCATAATATTTCATTAAACTACATATTTCAGTAGCAACTACTGCCACAAACTGGCATAAACAAGTATGGGAAGAAACTCATTTGAACTGTAAAGCAGTAGTTTACAATTATACAAGAGTCGAACAGCCTCAAACTTAAATAGTGCTGTAAGCATCATTATGTTTAAGAGGAAATAGAGAGCATATGTTAATCTAGTGAGTTTCTGAGGTTGATTAAAAGAGTTCCTACCTTATTAAATAGAACCAGAAGAAGACCAATGTACTTTTTTCCTCTACTACTACCAAGCAGTTATAAGGACTATATAAAAATAAAGGAGGAAATGAATGGATGAATGAATGAATGAGTGAATATGGCAGTTTGGACAAAAGCTATGTTTCATGCCTTTTCTTCCTTTGCCTATTATGTGCTCCCATATGTACTGAAAATAGGGAGAAATTGAGGAAATATATAGGAGAAGGATGGTACCAGTGGTGATGACCCTAGCCTCCTCATCCCTACATTCAAGCATTGAGGAGAAATGTGTATAGATCTCTGAAGCCAAGCCTGGCACTATAGTGATTAGAAGCTGTACACAGGCTGGTTTCAGTCCCCATGACTGTTTTCCTGGCAAAAAGAACAGCTAGGCCTGGATCCCTTTTTTATAAATGACTGTTATTGTGACCTCAGAATTTGACTTCGATATATATTTTATTCAGTGTTGGGTGTCTAAAGCATCCACTTTTATAACAAAGGCACAAAGTACCAATTATTCTAGGTCTCTGATCTTCAATTGAGTCTATTCAACATTTATCAAACATACCTACTATGTATACCAAGCACTGTGTTAGGTTCTAGGTATATGAGGTAGATTAAGATATGATTGCTACTCTTAAGGAGTTTACATCCAGGGAGGAGACAGAATATAAATTAAATACAATATATGTTAAGTGCTAAACTAATGCTATCAGTCATGTACTGTGGAGCATAATAGAGAGGTTGAGCATTTCATCCTAGGAGGATTAAGAAAATAACATTGGAGCTGGACCTAAGAGAGTTTTTCAAAAACGGAAATGAGAAAAGGACATTCCAGGCCAAGAGAATAGTATAAATCAAGACACAGAGGTATTTTTAAAAATTGCATGGAGTGCTTAGGGAACTACAAATAGTTTGTGGTAGTCACAGCCTAGTATAAATACATAGGTAATAAATACATAGGTAACAGATTAATAAGGGTCTTGCGGACATCTTAAACTTTATTTACTAGTTAAGACTTCCAACTGGTACTAGAGAACTAGGAACACAAGAAAAGTCATGATACTGAAAAGTTGCTAACTTCTTGTAAGGTTGATGGAAAAAAAGATGAAAACTATGAGAAAGTGGGGTTTTTCTTCAAATTACCTGTGATGTCCTTTATCTATAACTAAGGTGTTATACAAACTTTGTAGCAATCTCAGAGATCTTATAAGAGCCAAATTACTCACTTTTTGAAAGTACGTACACTTGAGAATTGGGTGGCATTGCATACAAAGAGACAGTGATTTACAAAATTCTTTCTTGGTGTACCAAAATACTTGACCTTAAATCAAAATTATAGTTTGTTTTGGTCCTACTGATTAGCATTAGACACTTTCAAAGAAAATATTACATGATTATGAAGTGCTGTCATTGGGCAAATCTCAAAAAAATCAATACCTCCATTAAGGAAAAATTGGGGTTTTAACATTTTTACTTTATATAAAACATAAGACATACCAATACAAATACAGAGCAAGTTACTCTTAAAGAATTGTTAATCTTAACAATCTAAAGGAAGTACTTCACATATTCCTGGAGTTTTTCAACCAATTACATTCAATTGAGTTTTGTATGTCTACTCTAGGTGGTTATATAAAAATATTTATATACCCAATAATATCTTTTACATTGGATCTCATATCAGTGAGCTGGTAGGAAGTCTTCACTAATCTTAGAGAGGAGCCAAATTTTTTATTTAATAACCACCCAAAAACACCTCTTAAGAGGTGGCTTCTTGGTTTAAGCCAAGAAGTAGAGAAAATTACAGGTACAATCACAATAACACTTAAAGTAAATTTACAGAATATGGTACATTGAGCCTGAATAAATTAAGGCAGGGATTCATGCTAACACATTACAGCCTAAGAAGCAACTGCCCTGAAACTCACTTTAGGATTCACTTTCTACCTTCACCAAAAAGGCACTTTCAGCAAAAGGAAGACCTGGTTAGGCCTGTATTAAATATCTTTGTTCCCCAGGCTTTTAAGATAGTTTTAGCATTAGTATATGTCATATCAAAACTTTAATGCTTTTAATCAAAAATCATTGCACTGCAAAATGGTCATATGTAGTAGATTAAGAGATGTCCCAGACAATAAATAATATTGAATTTATTGAATATGGGAAATAATATTGAATATGGGAGAAAAGCACAGAGAACACTGGAGTTATAAGCCAAGAAGGATGGAATACTTCATGTAGTTGTCAGCTACTGAGATCATACAGAGTTCATTCATTCATTCTAGAAATATTTATTCATAACCAACTTTGTGCTAGACACTTTCTAGGGTTTGGTATGATAGAGCAGTAAACATTTGTTTAAAATGGGTGATTAATGGGACTATACCCAAGAAATAGAAGTTAAAGGAAACAAAGGAATGTTAAGCACCTGGGTGCTACAACAGTGACACTCCATTACCAACCACCTCTAAGTCTGAAGGGGCAAAGAGAAAGAGTGGTGCCTGGATCAAGGGAGATTGATAGCTACAGGATAGGGCCACCCACTAGAAGCTGTAGCCGTCAATAGTAAAGACAATATAGCCATCACCAAACTGCAGCCCAGCAGGGAAAGAGCAAGGGGAATAAAAACCCTACTTTTCTCTTTCTCCTACCATCTAATCTCTTGTTGGCCACTCCTATTGGCTGAACCTAACCAGAAGCGAGAACCTGGTTGAAATAGTCCATAGAGGTCAGCCTTCTGGGCCATTGCACAAGATCAAGAAGGATGATGTAATCAGAGAGGCAAACAAAAAATAAATCCCTGTCTTTGTAGGATTTATATTCTAGAATGTAATAATGCACTTAACACTGTACTCTGCATAGATTGAAAGGTTTGATAATTTTAGCTATTGGTGGTATTGTTTGCAGCAATAATATTCTTGAAAGATTTTTAACACTGTTCTAATAAGTAAATTTCTGGTTTTACTTTGTACATCCAGTAGAGGGATATTTTCCCTTAACCATTCCCTAATTTTTTTTTAATGTGGTAGAAAATGTGTATAGAAATGTGTTAGAAATATGTATAACATAAAATGTACCATTGTAACCACTTTTAAGTGTACAGTTCAGTAGTGTTCAGAATATTCACATTGTTGTGACCTAAGATTTTAAGTGTTTATGAAGCAGATATCTTTAAAAAAATCTCTTTCTTATTGAGAAGTTAACATCATGTCAGAATTTTCTTTTAGGGGAAATTTGAAGCATTCCTTTTCCTAACTGTGACCTAAGTCATGGCTTATGACAAGTGACTCTTCTGGGGCCAAATCAAACCTATCAAATGGATCTTATAAAAATATGCTTTTCTCTATGCTGAGAGAAGTTTGCAGGGCAAGTTCTGCAATCAGTCTCTTGTACCTTCTATATGATAGTTCAAACAATGAAAATCTTGGATATAATGTTTAACCCAAATCATTACAGACAGTGAAACCATTTTTGAATTATTTAATTACATTTCCTAGACTTTTACTATTAAAAGGTGAACTAATATAGTTTAGAACTATTTTCAAGAGAAATAATTGAAATGATTTTTCTGGCTTGCCTTTATTAAATCAAAAAGTTTAGTTAATAACTAAATATTATTTCTTAAATATCAGAACTTCAGTAAATGACCAACATGCTAGTTTTTCATAATTGTCTTTCATAAAATCACATCGCATGGCATTTTTTTTTTCTTATAGACACTCAAATCACTTACGTACAAGTATTAAGAAAATTCACATTACTTAAGTTAGACACAATAGTGGCAAATGTAAGTGGCAGTTCTTCAAAAGGAAAACAGGACATCAAGAAAGACATCTAATGGTCACTACCTTAAATCAAGTTAAATCCTGTTTGGTGTAAACGTACCTGTTTGTGGGTAGTTTTTGTTACATGGGATCAAAATGAGTAAGAGTATAAGATTTTCCTTTTATGATTTGTTTCTAAAAATATTACATCTCCTGCAGACTTTTGCTTTGCAACAGCAAATCCATTCTTTCTTACATGTTTGTATTTCCAGCCGACTCAGACAGTAATGCCAGGACAAGTCATGCGGGTTACAACAGGTGCTCCAATCCCCTGCGGTGCTGATGCAGTAGTACAAGTAGAAGATACCGAACTAATCAGGGAATCCGATGATGTACGTCATCACCAGGTCTTACGGCTCTGTTCCTATGGCAACATTATAAATCATGCCCATTTTCTGCAGTGTTTATAAGATTAATCCAGGCTTTTTTGGTAATGTTAGGATCTTACATTGTAGTGTATAGATCTCCAGTAAATAGAAATTGCCTTAGATTTGAAAAGCTTTTGTTACAGGAAATGTTTTTAGGATCATTACCATGATTATAACAGAATTTGAACCACATTTGATCCAAGAAATTTCACATGCAAACAAGGAAAGAAACTATCTCAAGATAGAAGAGCAGAGATACTAACTGTTGACATACCTTATAGCTGAGAAATTTGCTCATCAAGATTAGCTTTGGGGCACCTGGGTGGCTCAGTTGGTTAAGTGTCCAACTCTTCGTATCAGCTCAGGTCATAGTCTCATGGTTGGTGAGATTGAGCCCCACATCAGGCTCTGTGCTGTCAGATTCTTGGATTCTCTCTCCCTGTCTCTCTTTGCCCCTCTCCTGCTTACGTTCTCTCTCTCTCTCTCTCTCTCTCAAAATAAATAAACATTAAAAAAAAACAAGACTAGCTTCTGGAAAAACAAGACTAGCTTCTGATAAAATGTGAAGGAGAATTTAATGAAAAAGAATTTAACAGAGAAATTCTTGAATATTACACTAAGCCAACCATTTGAACCTAATAACCCATCAACTATGGTTTTCTGTAATTCAGGAAACTCTTTGTCATCAAATGATAGCTGGAAATATTAAATATATGTCAGTGCCCCCTCTTTTGCCTACAATAAAGGACCCTGGGATTTTTTTTTTTTTTTTTTTTTTTTTTTTTTTTTTTTTTGGTCTAAGCAGGCCTTCATCTCACTGAAACTAGTGGCAATTATTAGAACCAGAGGATCAGCTACTAATAAAAGAATAGTTTCAACTGAGGTTTTACTGATTGGCTATCTTGTTTTTTGAAGAAGTTTAAGATATTTTATATCTTAAAAGGTAGAGCTAAAAATAAATAGTATTCTTTTGGGCTGGGCATATAGAAAAGTTTGGGCATGCTGAGAGACAAACACTTTTCTTGATCTGGGATTTTCTTTTTAATCACTTTCCCACATGAAAGGCTTATAAAATTCAACTCTTGGCATACAGATCACATTGCTTGCTATTAAAACTGTCCAACAGATTTATTGGCATCAGGGAAGCCAGCAGAGCATTGAAATCCAGACCATACATATCCACAAACTCTGCCACATGACAAGACACAATTCCAGTATCACAATATTATTCACAGCCCCAAAATGTAAAATTAATGATCACCATTAATTTACAGAAACCTACTGCCAGGCAAACTGTAAGCCCTGAAATTTCTCCAGATATTTGGAAAACTTGGCATAGTATTGAACCCATGATTCATGGGAACAGAAGAAACAGGTTATTTCCACACATATTCACTGTATCTATTAGGGTAGCCATATAGGTATGTCTTTTGTTCTCCCTTGAGAATGCTGCTTACAATGTAAGATCCAATATTTTAATTGATACATTTTTTAAAAGCATGAATATTATGAAAAAAAGCCTTTATTTATATCTTGGCATCAAACCTAATTTTTTAGGACCCTGTGGTAGACATTTATCATGTTCAAATGTTTAGCAAATAGTTCTCCATTTCTTTATCTTTGTATGTATCCTGGACCTATCTGATGATAAAAGCATCTGAGTAGCTAAATTCTGTTGACCAGAAATTCTGTTAGATCGTTCTGTTTGAAATTACATGACTTGTTCTCATTATAGGGCACTGAGGAACTTGAAGTACGAATTCTGGTGCAAGCTCGGCCAGGCCAAGATATCAGGTAAGTTCATAACATATAGAATGCATAGCCCACTTTTGTTTCTACATGATCATGAACTTGAGAGAACATGGCTGTTATAAACCCACAGTTCAGTTAATTAGCCATTAGCATTCAGGGATTTTAACAAGTAGTAAAATGAATTTTCTTAATTCTACATCTCATGTCTGCTCTGCCTGCTTTTTCATAAATGTGGTAAAGGCAAATGAAATAGTCAAAACAACATGTGAACAAAGTAAAGTCATGAGCCCGCTTAATCCACAGTTAATCCTACTTCCAGATAATCCAGAGTCACCCAACTGTACCCCTAGACAATCCAGAATTTGGTATGAACACAGGTAATCCCAGAGCTGAGTTTTTATGCAATTAGATGGTAGTCCCTCCTCTACTGACTATCAATAATAATAATCTGCTACTCTTTATATACAAAGAGGAGATTACTGTCTTACCATAAATAGTGCATATACTTTAAATTATTTTTCTTACTTTGGAATATGTTTTGCCCTGATCCTGTCAATACTAATTTGCTCAAATGTCTTCATAACAAAGCTACAATTCTCACATCCCTCTGGCAGGAAGCCAAGTTGAATGGACTTCTGCAGCCACAGACCTGGGTCAGCCTAAATTGTCTGAATAGAAATTATCTCTGTGGTAACCTCATTAGTGTTATTCTCCTCACCTCAAAGCTGACAAGATATGGACTCTTATCATTAATGCCACTAGCTATTTTCATATAAATTCTTACCTTACATCAAAGAAAGTTTTCAGTTGGCATTTTTGGCTGTAATGTGGTATAAAGTAATTTGTAAAACAGTTTTCGAATGTGAAGTAAGACTGTTTAGCAGTAATAGATAGAAATCCTATTTCTCTCTTCTATTGCGTGATTTAAGTTTTTTATTTAAAAAGCCTTGAGTTTTTAGAATCTTTTATTTTATTGTTCTGTTCCTGCCTCATCTCTTGACTTTTTTCTCCTCTTGAGTGTGTCCTCCTTCTCTGACACTAAAGTTAGTTGAAAAAATACTATTCTTAGTCATCTTGCTTATGGTTCTGCTTTGACTTTCAGACCCATCGGCCATGACATTAAAAGAGGGGAATGCGTTTTGGCCAAAGGAACCCATATGGGCCCCTCAGAGATTGGTCTTCTGGCAACTGTAGGCGTCACAGAGGTTGAAGTTAATAAGTTTCCAGTTGTTGCAGTCATGTCAACAGGGAATGAGGTAAAAACAAAAGGCGGGGGGGATGAGAGGGTAATTGGGCCTTCAGATAGAAGTATTTTTGAACTCTTCGTTGTAAATAGAACATTGTGCATTATAGATTTTACCACATTCCTACATTACAGGGAAATAAATTAGCTTCAGAATAATTCAAATACAGAAGAAAGAGGAGGAGTAGAAATTACATATTGAGAAATGCTCCCTTCCATTATTAGAATGAAATGTTACAACCAATGGCTTTTCCACACATTCAGTATATATAAACAAAGAATTTTGACTGCTAGCTATAGATACTCAACTGTGCACATTTAGTGCCCAGTCTGTTGGGACAATGCATTGTGCCCACCCACCTGCCGAGATGATGGGCCACTTCTGTGTGGGAAATAATCAATGAATTGGAACACAGTGGTTAGCCCTTCTTGCTGGAAGTTCCATGTGATTCTTAATCACCAGGAAAGATTTGATAACCTTTCTTTCTTTTTTTCTAAAGATAGCTTCTCTAGTGGCCTGCTTCTCAGAATATGTCAAGTGTCATTTCAGCCCTGATTCAGGATGGGGAATTTAGTCAGTCTTTCTCTGAGAACTCTTGAAAAATTGCCTCTCCCATGTTTTGCTTAGGTTATACAAAAATTCAGTTGGAGGATCTAATGAAACTGGGAATGTTGAAAAATGAGTGTGCTGGTAATTCAAAGCCTAAGAGCAGAATCAAAAACTACAGAGATTTATTTCGACTTTACACCTTATTATTTTTAAAAAGATTAACAGGATTTCCTTTTTCTCTCTTTTAATCTCCTAATTTTGTTCTGAAAATAAGCCATTTATTTGTACCATTGTTTTTAATTTCTTAAAGTCTTAAAAATGAATATTTTTCAAAGGTCTTTCCATTACCCTTATAGCTCTTTTGGAAAGGGCAAAAGAAAGGAACAGAATATTTGTTTTGCTAATGGAGAGATGAATCCATGTTCTACACCCTGTATAGCTGCACTGGTCATTCCCTAAAATGATTGATTGACCCAAAACAAACATTCTTTTTTTTTTTTTAAGTTTATTTATATTTTGAGAGAGAGAGAGTGAGTGATGGAGGGGCAGAGAGAGGGAGAGAGAGAATCCCAAGCAGGATCCACGCTGTCAGCATGAAACCAAATGCGGGCTCAGTCTCATGAACCATGAGTTCATGACCTGAGCCAAAATCAAGAGTCAGACGCTTAACTGACTGAGCCACCAAGGCACCCCCCAAAACAAACATTCTTTTCGAGTGGTCTACATAGTAATGTTTTTAATATCCCTAGGACTAACTGACACTATGTTTAGCATCAGAAAGAAATTTCTGTTAAACTGGCTTATTTAATGAACTATTCTTATTTGTGATTTATGTATATGCTTTGTGTATCTCAGTGAGTTCAGGGGGGTTGGGAAAGCTAAAGATAATGAGGAAATTCATAAGTAACTAGTTATTAGGCAACTTTGTTTAAGCTATATTTCTTGTATTCCTCCTAATGTTTTTGTAGGGCTGGACAGCATTCTCAATTATCCCCCAGAATACATTGGTAGTACTTTAAAAAAAAAGTACTATCACACATTCAATATTAAAACTATTTACTAGTGATAAAGAAAAGTGATGGGGTAAGAATAGAGATGATACTTACATCATGGAATCTAAGGAAGAATTTGTAGTCCCAGCTCCCTGCCTCCATAGGCTTGATTATCTTTGGAGAGGCTTTGATAGGTACTATATGACTCCATTCTCCTACTTTCTCTGGCCTGCTGTACTTACTGTGGTTTTCCAAGGGATGAATGTATCTAAATTCTATAAATCTCTGGTTCCATATAGCTTAACATTCCTTCCCTATTTCCATCCAAGGTTAGCCATTCTTGTGACTCTTTGTGATTGTATAATTTATTTCAACATATGTTTATTGACTGCCTCTATACCAGGCACTAGACTGGAAACTGGTGGTAAAAGATGAATAAAGTATAGTATCTCTTCTAAAGGCTTGAGGTCTTTGATAGAAATAATGGGAAAAAATATTAATTTTCAGATAGGCCAAAAGAAATTATACTTGTCTATTAATGTGGCAAGTCTATAATTTAATCAGTCACAGTACACACTCCTCGTAAGTACTAACTTCCCCTGATATGTGTGGCTTCATATATGTCCACTTTTTAATCCAGTGTGGTATATACGTAAGTGGAACAGTGGCCTGAGGCAACCCAAAGAATGCCATACAAGATGTCTGTCTTTAAAACCTGCCCAGTATTTTACGAGTACATGTGTTTGTTCTGGATAAGGGAATTATTTCAAAATTGAAGAGGTACAGTTATGAACTATAACTAATACAGAACAGCCAATGTAAACATTTGTTGGTTTCAACAAATTATGTATTTTAACATTTAGGTAATACCATCCAGTAATTATGTAATCATGGCAGACACTTCCAGCCTTGTTCAATAAATATTCATTAAGCATCTATTACATGCTGGAATGCCCATCAGGGATTATCTTAACTAAATATCAGACTTATATAAGATGTGAATACACTGTATCATGAACCAGTTTATTTAAAAGGATTTTGAACAGGAAACTCTGTCCAGCAAGGCTGCACCAGACTTTCATCTTTGGTGAAACTAGTCCTCTTAATCATCTACACAGCCATCCAAGAGCTATTCTCTTTTTTCAAGTGACATTCAGGTACAATGGAACAAGAATTCTACTAAAAGAATATGGGAGCCACCAACACAGAAGCATATCCTGCATGGGAATCAGTATTTCTTATAACAGTCTTAGGCAGCTACCAGGGTCCCTACAAGGGAAATGTCCAGATACAAGTGTCACCACATTCACAAAAGCCCAAAGATGTTACTTTCCACTAGGGATTTATAATTCATTTATAGTTCCTTCTAGTCCATATGCATGTTACCAATCAGAGACCATTTTTGCCATAAGAATTGCTGCCTGGTAACAAGCTGACATTTCATCTGTATCAAATTTCCAGGAGAACAGAGCTAGAAAGTTAACCCAAGGTCAAATTTGTCCTTAGAGATGGAAAAAGGTTTTGTTAATTATTTACCCTCGCATAAGAGGATGCATTATCTGTGGCAAATTGGAAAATAATAATAAAACTAACTACAAGTCCTTCTGCTTTTTATTATCACCATACGCTGGCAATTCTAAACAATGTCAGTGGTAAAATATTCTTCTCCACTGGGGCAAACCATTTCCACCACCCCTCCCTATTTAGTATACTATACCATATTGATGCTAGGCGCTGTTCTGACTGCTCAGGATATAGCAGCAAACAAGAAAGACAAATCCCTGTTCTTACAAAATTTATATTCTAATGGAGGTGGGATAGAGGTGGATAGTCAATGAACAAGTAGTCGTCAATGGTTTTATAAAGAAAAATAAAGAATGGTAGATAAAGACTGGTAGTAGAAGAGGTATATGCCAGCTATTATCTGTTGAAACCTACCCTACATCAGCCCTTTCATGCTCTCCCCTATACAATAAGGCTAGAAGCCTGAAAAGCCAATTTCCCGGGCTCTCTATTGGTTTTGCATTTGGGATGTATTGACACAATATTGACACAATATTATTGTGTCACAATAAGTTGGAAGGAAGTTAGCAGAAGTATAAGCTCCTCAACCTTCAGTAACATCACTTTCCCCCAGTAGCCCTAGAGACAATGGTGACTTCCTGCAGTTACTAATCTTTGGAAACACACTTTTTTCCTTTTGTTTCTCCAACCCTCCCAACACGTTTGTACCCAATTCTTAGTATTAAGTCCTTTCTTTTCCCACTCCCCTGCATTTGAAATACCTAGAGGATTTGGTTTTCCTTTCCAGACCTGACTGATAGAGTCTTCTATTTTATATAGGGTAATCAGGTCTCACTGATGAGGCAAAATTAGAGTGGAAATCTGAAGGTATTAAGGGTGTGTGCCATAAGGGGAATTGAATTCCAAGCAGAGGGAACAACAGACAGAAAAGTTCTGAAGTAGGGTGTATGCTCATCATGTTTGAGGAATAGCAAGGAGGTCATTGTGGCTGAAGTACAGAGGAAAAGGAGCAAAGTAAAAGGAGATGAGTTGGAAAGATAACAGAAATAAGACCATTTCATTCTAAATAGTCAGTTTTAGGGGCGCCTGGGTGGCGCAGTCGGTTGAGCGTCCGACTTCAGCCAGGTCACGATCTCGCGGTCCGTGAGTTCGAGCCCCGCGTCGGGCTCTGGGCTGATGGCTCGGAGCCTGGAGCCTGTTTCCGATTCTGTGTCTCCCTCTCTCTCTGCCCCTCCCCCGTTCATGCTTTGTCTCTCTCTGTCCCAAAAATAAATAAATAAATAAATAAATAAATAAATAAATAAATAAACGTTGAAAAAAGAAAAAAAATCTAAATAGTCAGTTTTGAGGAAGGAAAAGATAACATGAAACCTAACATTTCCTAAATTTTTAAATGTTTACTCTGATATCAACATCACATGGCATATAGAAAAGGGAGACTAGTTAGAAAGAAATGTAATATCCAGGAAATGGGGAAATATTTGGTAGGAAATAATCAGATCCAGCAAATACTTTGAAGATTAAGCCAACAGGTTTTGCTATTAATTCAAAGTAGAACTATATAAGAGAAAGTGAGGAGTCAAGATAAACTCCAAAGTTTTGACCTGAGCGTTTCTAGAGATAGTTATCACTTACCCATGTGAGAAAGATTGGGCAGCAGAAATCAGGGCTTTTGTTTTGGACAAGTTAAGTTTGAGATACTTTTTAGAAATCCTGGTAGAAATATTGAGTAGGCAGTTGAACATACTGTCTGGAGCTTAGGGGAAAGATTAAAGCTAAAGATAACGTATTTGGAAATTATCAGCATACACAGTATTTAAAATCATGAGACTAGATAATAAAGTCACATAGGAAATGAATATAAATAGGAGATAGGAGATACAAATTTTACACTTAGGAGACAGCTGTATCTTCCTTCTCTTTCCTCAACCTTTATACTGCCCAGTT